CCTACATATTTTTCTAACTAATCTTCATTATCAGTAAATATTATTATTTATCTTTCCTTATCACTAAACGGTCCTACATATTTTTCTAACTGATCTTCATTATCAGTAAATATTATTATTTGAATGATAAATACATGACTGAAAGCTATTTATGTAATTAAGGATATTATCTAGATTTTAAATGATATTTTCTGTAAATTAAGGATACATGTCTAGATCTTTCCTTATCACCAAACCTCCTACATATCACTCTCATTACTCATCCTTATCAGTAAATATCATCATTTGATTGATAATACGCGATTGAAAGCTTTTTTTTTCATTCTGATCGATTTATACCAATATTATCAGGAATATCAGTTTACTATCTATTGATGATGAATTTAATTTCCAAAATAGTATTTGAGTATTTAAATTTAGTACTCAATTCAATGTTCAATTTAGTACACGGATAATCTTGATAAAATCTGAATAATTTTTTGTTGAATAATTCTAAATTGATCGATATTAATTTATCGACAAAAAAAAAAAATTTTTTTTTACCAAATAAATTATCTAAGTGAATTTTTTTTACTAAGCAAATTATTTAAATATTCATTAATTTGATAAATTCCTATTTCTAAAATGCATCACTATCAAATTTAAATTAAATATTTAAAAAAAAATTAAAAATTGGAAAAAGAGAAAAAAAAAAACTTACCGCATCTTCTAATTGCTTCTTTTGTGTTTTAATTTTGCTTTGAAGTTTATCAACAAGATCTTGCAAACGTTCGTAATTTTTCTTATCCTCGTCTACTTGAAATTGTAATTCGCGTACACGCCTTTCAGATTTAGCAACATTTTTATTAGCTTCCTGATAACGATGTTGTTCACCATCAAGTTCAGCTTCGAGATCATGAATACGTTGTTCAAGTTTAGCAATTACTTTTTTACCACCTTTTAATGCTGCTTGTTCTGCTTCTTCTAATTGTACCTAAATTCAAAATAATTGATAATTAATAATTTCAAATTTGATTATATATATATATATATATATATTATATATATATATAGCAATAAAATAACTAATTTCATCAGGCTACTTTATTT